CGGCGACACCACCAACTACGGCCGATTCCGATGACTTACGAAAACGAAATGGGTTGATCGACGTCGCTCTTCCGTACCGACCGTTTTATCTTCAGAGGAGAATTCTCAGTTCTTTTGCGATCCTCTTCGCCGGACTGATGGTAACCGTGGAAGCTGTGTTGGACCTATCAAATAAAAGAGGAGGACTCGGTTCACCAGACCATGGATTCAGATATCTATGGCAGTATGGGTCGGCTTTCATCTTTACCTGCATCGCCGCGTTATGGGCGAGACCCGAACACCAAGCAAAAGCGAGCGCGCCATGGCTTCGGATGGCCAAAGGACCTGCGAGCGTGGACAGGACACTGATGCTCGACTACGTGTTCATGTTCGAGCCGTGGACCATTGCGAAAGCGACAAAGAATCGGGACTGGCTCGTTGCGGCTACAGCGTCTGTCGGCCTGACGCTCAAACTCATCATCGTCATCGCCGTGGCGCTCGTCAGCCCAACGTTCCAGATTGTGACTGCTCGGGGTGCAAGCTTGAACCTGCACAACACGTTTGTGAACGATCCCACTGGGCTACGGAATGCTGGTGCGCTGCCTTTCTTTACGATGACTGCTCTACAAACGAAGGGTCTCAACTTCCCGGACGGCACTTCCAAAGAGTTCGCCTTCCAGTCATTTTCTGCAGACTTGCCCGCGACTGCTGAGCTGAGGACCAACGTCGACGGCTTTCAATCCGAAATCGAGTGCGAGCCGGCACAGTTCACCTTGACCGGTGTCCAGTTCATCCAAGCTTCGGATGTTCAGCTCAACGCCACCATATCGACCCCGAATTGCACCTTGACGCAAACAATTCCGAACATGGCGCTGATTGGTTTCACGCTTCCTACCTTCTTTATGGCATTTCAGGCTGGGGCCTGCGGGAACTCGCCCTTCCCCGATGATGGAAGAGTCGTCGTCATGACGGGAGCCATTCAAATCAACGAATCCAGTGTGCCGACGGAGAGTGACGTTTTCAATGTGCCCATTTCAGGTGCTGTTTCAAGGTCTGCAGCGCTGATCTGCCGTCCATCGTACTTTCTCACCAGGGTTCATGTCACCAAGAACAACACGCAACTCATCAAGATCGAACGCAACCGCTCGGCAGCTAATAAGACTCTCGAGCTGGTCCACCCTTGGGATATTGTCCAAGGACACTTCAACTCCTACCCCACTGATTCGCAGATTCTCGCAGCGATACCGAACATCAACAGCCGGTACCCCGGCATTGCCATTGTCGCTTCCGACGCCGTCATGAACTCGGCCGTCGCTATGCAGATCAAGGACTACGGGCTCCCGCCGATCGAGACGTTCCTGAAGACGGACAACCTGACCCAGATCTCGACGGCGTACTGGAAGCAGTATACTGCTCTCGTCGCGCGCAGCTCACTGATGGGCGAGACACAAGAGAAATCCACCGGTACAGCCATCATCATTGGAGAGCGACTCAATGTTCGCCAAATACCAGCACACCTCTTGTCAGGCCTACTGGGATTTGTTCTCATGCTGGTGCTGGCTGCAATTGCCCTCGCGCCAGCGAAGGGCTTCCTGCCCCGCGACCCAAACACTATTATCAACATGGCAACCCTTCTCGCTCACAGCCGCCAGCTTCTTCAGTGTCTGCGCGGCACGGGTGCTGCCGACATATCAATCGTACGAGAGAAGCTGCTCGGCACGAACTACTACACTGGCGTAGAGCCCTACGAGAAGGCCGAAAAGGAGGCGAGGGGATACTTCAAGATCTTTGGTGGTGCTCCGCCCCCTCAGAACCAGCCGCCCGAGTTTGTACGAAACGATGACTGGAAGCACCCGCTGCCGCTGAATCCATGGGCAAGGTTCGCCGCCGTGGGAACTATGATTGGCATGATTGTTGCCCTTGAAGTTGTGCTTCGTATTTCCAACGCAGACGCCGGCATCGCGACGACCAAGGCGAATACCGACAAGCACTTTTTGTGGACAACAGGGACCGGCGTCATTTTCGGTCTGGTGGTGCTGTACCTGGCCGCTGCGGACTGTGCGACGCGATGTCTTGCACCGTATGCGAAGCTTAAAGAAGGGGGATCCTTTGAAACGACGGTTCATCTGGACTTCATGGATAAGTCCAAGCATAGAATCCTGTTCGATGCTGTGAAGACGCAAAATATTGCTGTCGTGTTTACCACCACCGCTCTAATCGTCGCGTCGCTCCTAGCGACGTTTTCTGGGGCTCTCTATAGTACGACACCGATCCCATCTACACGGCCCGTAAACCTGCAGACCCTCGACAGCTTCATCAATGCGTCCTCACCTTGTCCGACTTGTACCACTGATACTCTTCTGGCCTCCCTGATTCTCGACGCGAACCTGACTTTCCCATCATTTACCTTTGAGGACCTCAACTTCAACAGTCTGCAGCTATCGGAGCCCCTCGATATGCAGGACGGCGCCGGCACCATCATCGCAACGGTCCCTGCCCTTCGCTCGCGGCTCGACTGCAGACTCTACCCGCAATCCGAGATTAATACGAACTTTACTGTCCCTGACTTGCCGAATCAGTTTTCACAGGACATGAAGGTTAACATCGCCGGTGAGCCGTGCCTCGATCCATCAATCCGGTCCAACGCCGTCTTACCACCGGGCGTCTCTCCTTCTTCCGTCTTCGGTGTCGCTACCCCACGATCCGCTGCTTCGTCGCAGTGCTCCGATTTCACCTATGTCTGGGGTCAGCTCTCCGACAGCACCCCCATGCAGGTAGGCTACATCTCAGCCATGGGCTGCAACGAGACGCTCGAGACTGTAACAGCCAAGATCCGCCTCACGGGCGCCTCGCTACACGTGGATACAACTTACCCCCCAGTCGTCCAGGAGAACACCGCCAAGCCAATCAAGTTAAGACTACTCCCCTTGCAGTACGGACTGCTGGCCAATCTCACCACGGGCAACCAGCTTGACCCGTTCTTCAGCTCCCTCGTCACATCGCGATTCGCGGTGCCCGCGGGGAACCTGGGCGATCCGGGCCTGGGTAAGAGCGGTCTCGTAGCGGACGCCATCGTTCGGCAGCACGGCATCCTGCGCGCCCAGAACCTCAACGTTAATTCCCGTCGTCGCCTCCCGGACGTGACGGCCCAGCAGACCATCCCCGCCATGCTCGAGTCGACGTCCGTCACCTCTCTGCGCCGTCTGGTGCAGGACACCGCCTCAACACGTATCATCCAGTCCGTGCTCGGTCTCCTCGTCGCCCTGACGCTCGTGGCATGGCTGCTCACGCCCGGGACGGATACCATCCTGCCGCGGAACCCGTGCAGTATCGCCTCCATGGCGGCGCTGCTGGCCGACGGCAATGTATTTGGGTTCTTGGGCCGTGGGGCTGAGTGGCAGGCGACGGAGGAAATGAAGCGCAGCTTCTTGGACGGGAGCCATTCGATGGGTTTCAAGATCGGGTACGAGCGGGTGAGGAAGAGGAGGGGCGCGGAGGACCTCAATGGAGTGAGGGGAGACGGGGATATGGCGTACGGCATCAACGTCAAGCGCGGGGGCGGGTGGGGTGGAGGTGAGGATGTTGGGCTTGGGATCTTGGCGAGGGTGAATGGGGCGCAGAGGGGTTTTGTTAGGGGATGGGGGAAGATGTGAGTCCTCTTCATCCCGGTTCGTTTCTTTTCTACTTCTTGTTTTTACGTACTACAAATCTTCTGGTCTGTACAGTAGCCTGTGGCTTTTTTTAGGAGTTTTCGTTTGTCCAGGGACGAACTTTTTTTTGGGAGCGGGATGATACCACACGCGAGACTTATTCTTTTGAAAAAAGAAGACGGGAAAATCGGGAACCATGGGGAGTCTCGGGTTTGAGATCATGGTCTCTTTTCATTTGTATGTACTTTTATTTAGTATTCGTACTTTCAGTCTCTTCAATGTCTACACATTTGGATGGGAATCTGTCATTTGTTTCGAGAGTTTTCACGCACGATGGTTTGCGTGGTGGTTAGTGTGGTGCTAGGAAGGTGGCTTCTCTCCGCCGTTCGAAATGCTGCTTTGCGTTTCTGTCGCTGTCATGCCAAGTCCGTAATCACAACGAGGAAGAATTACCGTAAACCAAGGGTGACTCCAGTCTGGCGAGACTTGATCTGAAAGCAATACATACATCTTTACCCGCAATTGAGTAATTGATAGAAAGATGCGATTGAGATACCGATACAGAGAGCGGTCCCGAATGTAACGTCTCGCCATGAGGCTCTCTCCGCTCTCATGATTAGAGGGGGCTCTGCACTAACTCTTACTTTCTTAGCAGTGGCGGTGCCAGCGACGATAAGCCTCTTTCTGTTAAAACTTTCGCTCTCCTATGTGCTGGTTTGCCTAGCGTAAAGTGCCCAGCACCAAAACAGTCTTCATCCCGGTGCCGATCGATCTCGGCAAAGTGGGTTCCGTGCATTCGGGTTCCTCGGGTGAGTTGGGTCTCGCGGATGGATAGGGGAGTATGCCGCTTCGGTGGGACCGAGGAGCGCCGTCGGGGATTTTTTGAGAGGGATTGGGAGTGGGAAGGTTTGTCTGGATGGAGGTATATGTGAGTGTATAGGAAAGAGGTGAGAAAGGGGGGATTTGAGGGAGTTGAGAAGTGGTAGGTGTGGTGAGGTGGGCGAGTCTTGGCTGCGGGAGACGAAGCGCCTCGAATCGTGTCTGGGGTCTTGGCGGGTTATGCGATCTTGAACGGATGGAAGCGGGCGGGTGTGGCGCCGGGAAGGACGGACGTCACGGTAGATGGCGATCTGGAACTTTGGGGATTGGAAAGACTTGGAAACGCATTGTGGACAGGAAAAGGTAGTATGTGTGAGATTTGTCTATGCTGTTTTTTGTTCAGGTTTGGATATCATGCTGTGTGGGTTCCATCGCTTCCGAGCGCCTTTGTGTGTTTTGCCATGTCATGATTGGTTTCCCGTGTATGGTACCTCTTATTCCTCGTTCCTGTATGTTTCCCCAAAAACTCCAAGTCTTTCCAAGATGGGAGACTCAACAAATGCTGATCTACGAAGTCACCGAGTCAGTCATGCAGTTCTCTGGAATGCGAAAGAGGAAGAATCTGCTTGAAGGACACACGTACCATGCGTAGAAATTGAAAACCATGTTTGTAGGATGTTTGCATTTAGACAATGCTGCAAGTGCATCCGAGGCGCTTCTCGGGGTCGACGCTGGGGAAGCCGACGCAGATGCGGCCCTCGGCCTCGCAGTTGACCTTGGAGTCGCCGCAGACGGTGTCGGTGCAAGGGCCGTCGAAGCGGGCGGCGACGGTCGCCGCGAGGAGGGAGACGATGGCGAAGACGGCGCGCATGTTGGCGGTTTTGTTGTGTTGGTTTTGAGTTGGAGGTGGAGGTGTGGGAGTTTGGATGGTTGTGAGAGAAGGTTGAGTTGAGGGTTGTGTGGGTGAAGTGGGATGATAATGGTGATGGTGAGGGTGATGGGATGACAAGAGTGAGAAAAGGCGGGATGATCAGCTACTTCTTATACAGCAGTTTACAAGGAAACTGCATCTTGAGTCAATTGTTCGGGATGGACGTGATAAACTTTGGAAACATTATGCCAAGGCCTCTGCGAGCATGGATGAAGGGTCTGTTGAGGTTGACACCGCCCTCTTCCGTAGACTTGCTAGGTTGACTGGGTGTCTTTGCAAGAGGAATACCAAGACTTTGGCTAACCAAGACTAACCAAGAGTTTGCGACTTCTTGGAAGGTGCTCGAGATCTGCTCGATGTGGTTACAAGGAGGATGCTATTTTCGAGTTTGCTGGTATCCGTAGCGGAGCTGTCCTGAACCACTTGGTCAGTGAGCAGATGGTAAAGTGGCCAGGCACATGAATTTGCCTCAAAGGCCGGCCAAAATTACAAGCTGTACGGAGTACGGAGTACTGTGGTAGTGTGGATTGGCTTGGTGGCCTAGGTTGTTCACCTTGAGGTCCGTTCGGCGTACTTGGCGTACGGCAAAATCCGATACTACCGTCTCTGGATAGCCTATTTGGTTAGTACTGAGAAAGTTCACGGAGTAAGGTAGTGAGAGACGGGGACCGGCATGTTGTCCGCAAGTTTTGCTACTGCTGCTGCACCGGCTTTGCTAGGGGATGTGGTCTTGGCGCCTGCGCGGGCAGTGTTTGGGGCTATTAAAAGCCCATCGAGTATATGAGCTTGATCTGTGCTCTTGGCGATGAGGTGTTTCCAATCCACCTCTTGGCGGACCTTCCGTTGGCTAGGTATCCTTAGTAGGTGGGCTGCTGAGCTGCTCAGTTCAAAGTCCGCTACCTAAAGTATGGAGTATTCATACGGATACATCTTTACGGGCACATTGGCTAGCCATGTTCTGCTACTTCATGGCAGCGATGGGCGGGTAATCTAACGGGCAATCAGCCGGGATATTTACGCTTGGGAGATTTGACGGACGTGGTAATGTGTCTTGTGACTCTTTTCCTTCTTCTAGACTCTCATGTCTTGGCATTCTTTCTGTAAGTTGGCAATTGTCCGTAATAGATGCTCCGCGCCCGTTGAAAGTTAAACTTTCGTACAGTGAGAGATTCCATAGGCTAGAGAGGCAACGAGAATGGGGAATTAGGGGGGCGCAAAAGACGCACTTCCCCAGTGGCTTAGCGTTGTTCTCCCGTCAGAGGGCCTTGGCTACGGCACTGCAACACGACTCATGCGCCCTCGTTCCGGGGTTAGGGATCGCGAGTAAGTCATTCCTAATGGACGGCCGTGCCTAACGAGTGATAAGACTTGATAAGATCCTGAAGCCTCATATTGCAACTGGGAAGTCGCATGTTATTTATGGTTGTTATGTGGAGCCAACCGGCCTATAGGCCCTGCTGATTGGGGTTTTGGGTTCTAGAATGTGTTGGAGCTAGGCGTGGCTTTGACATTTGTGTGTATCCGTAGTCTGTGTCTGTACGAAGTAGTATGATGGCATGTGGACTACTCCGTCTGCTTGGATTTGACAGATTGACGTGCGCAAGCGAGAGTGAGGCACGGCAGAAGGAATGGAACCAGGTGAGTGGACGTATGAAATGGCAGCATACAGGGTTTTAGGGGTTTGCTTGTTCTTCATTCTGCCTGTAAAATTCTCCCCGGTGGGATAGGAGGTGTTCATTTGATGATTAGTCTTCAAGAACCTTTGGGTGGATGATGAAACCGGGCTCCTGGACTCTACTCGATCTCGGAGACAAGCCTCTATTCTACAGACTCTTGCGAGAAAGCAGAATAGGGCTGTACGAAGTAGCCTACGATATAGTACGCCCAGAGATCTCCTTTTCCAGCCGGCGAGCCGCCTAGAACTCGATTACAAAACAAGCTTCTAGTGATCACCCGGAGGCCGAATTTCCAAGACCATAGTAATTAATAACGTCTGTACCATTACACCACCCAACGTGCACCTACCCCGTCAGCTCGGTCCAAGCCCACATACTACCGGCCTGTCTCACCCAGAGTGCTCATCTTTCCTGCGATCTCCTAGTACCTACCCGCCAAGACTTGATTTTGACTCATGGTCATCCTTGCTATATTGGCTCCTCGACTGACGTCTAGATCTGGGTAAACAGACCCGATGATCGTAGCATAGCTGCCAAGAGTGGCAAAATACACCCGTAGAGAATTGGTTCGTCACGATTTGCTGCGGCTTCTTGGGGTGACGTACGGCGCAGGAATTTCAAGAAAGCCGCTGCTTCACAGTATCTTTCATGACAGTAGCCAAGGGCGATAAGCCAACTAGAGTATGAAGTTTACTGTTAGGGTGGCGGCTCAACACGGTTGAATAGCGATCAGTCATCATCGCCGCTCAGCTATGACGCTTCACCGCGGATCAGTAGCGGTTGACTCGTGATATCGTAAAGACACCAGACTCATAGGCCGATTTTCTGCTCACGATCATCTTCCAAGATGGAGCTAGGTATCAAAGCTCAAACTGTCATTACTCGGCGAATCTATTCGCTCATACTCTGTACAGATACACCAGTCCGGCAATATGCAAACCCATCTCACGTCCAGTGCCGCTTTTAGAAAGTCAGGTATCAGACTCGCCCGGTGGGATAAGAGAGAGCACAGATCAACGGAGCTGTCCGCGCACCTCCTTTTCATCCAAATCCAGGCGTTTGGGATACGAAATCCGGGGCGAGTGGAAAGATGCCCCCTTCCTTTAATTCCAGCCATGTCCCTTTCTCCGGATCTCAAAGGTGTCTCCGGAAGGGATGCGCTTCTGTGTTCAGCACGTAGTCGTCGAGGCTGATGAGATCGGGCGGTGAGAAGACGAGGTAGAAATATTTTAGTGTCTCCGCCAGCCAGAAACTCTAAATGGGTGGTCATGCAGTGTCAGTCAAGCGGGATTTTCTCTCTCTCTCTCTCAGTTCTCTCTCTCAGTTCTCTCCCCTTCGCAATCTCCCGATTTAGAACGGAAAAATCATCCCTGCCAAAAGCTATGCTGACATGGCAGAAGAATGCAAAGAGGAAGAAAAGCAGCGAAAAATCAAAAGGAAAATGTCGAGGAAACTCACCTCCATGTAATCTTCCTTGGGCAGCGGGTCCTGCTTCTGCGTAACATCCAACACCGCAGCATTGCCATGCTCGACGAGCGTCCCGTTGCTCACAGCTTTCCACATCTCCCAGGCCGCCTCTTGGAACCCCTGGTCGCCCGTGATGCGGTACAGCACGAAAACGCTCTCAATCGCCTCGGGTCGGAGGATATACCGCGGGTCCTTGGCCGTCGTGAAGCCTTTGGGCAAGTGCTCCTTATAATCCGTCTTCAACTTTCTCGCCGCGTCCCACTTGTCCTCGTCCCACGCGCACGCGTCCCGGCGGTCGCACTTGACCATGTTATACCGTTCCGGCATCATGCCCGTCGGCATGGCCTGATAGGCGTAGTAGCACCCCAGCGTTAGCTTCGCGCCGACGGCCACCCATTCCTCTTTCCCCAACACGCGGCCCGCGAGGGCGTAGATGCCGCCGATGAAGCAGGACAGATGCTCGCTTTCCGGGTCAAGGGAGTGGTTCCCGCCCGCGTCGACGTCGACGTTGCCCGAGATGAGAACGTTTTCGCCGCCGGGGAGCATGGGCCGGAAGAAGAGGGACTCGTTGGCGGCTTTGAGGAAGTTCTCCGTCATGGTGCGGTATTTTGGCTCCGCGCCGTTGAGGAGGGCGATCATCTTCGGGAGGTACTCGTAGAGCGAGTCGGCGCAGCCGCCGATGGTGAAGGTTGAGCCCGTGACGACGTCGCGGTCGGCCATGTGGACGAACATGGGCCACATGCCTGGCAGTTTCGTCTTTTGCTGCCCGTCATGGAAGAGATCCATTACTTTTGCGGCGGCGTCGTAGTATTTCGGGTTACCGGTGAGCTGGGAGAGGCGCGTCATCTCGAGGGATAAGGTGCCCGGGGACGCGGAGACGACGGAGCCCTCGACGATGAGGCCCTTGCCTGACTTGGCATCGTTAAAGTTGATAAAGTCTACCGGCATACGGTGCTCCGTGTTAAAGGCGCCATACAGCAAATCGCCGAGCTCAGTGGCCTTGTCGAGGAGGACGCGGCGCCCGCTGAGGTCGTAGGCGGCCATGAGACCGCCGAGGTAGCGAATGTTTGTCTCAAAGGTGTTGACGCGGTCCGAGGTGGAGATGCTAAAGTCAATCTTCGCGACGGCCGCGACGGCCTCCTCGAACTCTGGCTTGAGGCCCATGATCCAAAGGACGTCGAGGGAGTCGACAAGGGTGGCGGCCCAGCCGGAGAACTGGTCCTTTGCAGTGGCGGAGATAGGGTTGAGGGCGTCTTTCATCCAGGCGTACTCTTTGTAATTCGCCCAGTTCTTTTGGAAGAGGCGCCGGACTTCTTGCCGGCGGGCTTCCCGGCGCCGGGAAGCGGAGAGGGATTCGGAGGCGAATCGGTGTTGCACACGGGGCAGGGAGCCGCGGCCGCCGTTCGGGACGCGGGTGAGCGGGTCTTGGGGCGGGTACTTTAGGTCGACGGCGGACCAGTCGAAGCTGGACTTTGGTGTCGCCGGTTGCCGGACGAGGCTTTCTGTGTTCATGAAGCGTTCTAGCATGGCTGTTTCTGTGCGCGGGTGTAGCCATGTTGTGTCGAGGATGTAGATGACACATGTTATGGCAATGAGGGTAAGGACGATGGAGCGCACCCGCGTCCAGCGGTATGATGTCCTCCCCATGACAAATGTTTGTGTTTGTCTGTGTGAGTATATGTGAGTGGAGAGACGCGTGAATGAGAGGCGGCGTGATGGCCCCGGAGCGTGATGAGTCCTTCTCGATGGTTGAGGCCAGGCAAGGGAGGAGGGCTGTGTGACACGGCTAGGTTCGAGTCATGAAACGGTTCGGTGACGGCGGTGGAATGAGAGTGTCTACCGTCTATCGAATACGAGAAAGGAACAGGAACTGTGACCAAGCAAGATGCGACAAGAAAAGCTGTGGTCTGTAAGGAGGGAACCGTCTACGGGTGTCGCTGTCGCAAGCCCCTTAATGAGTATCTCGTAGCAGAATCTCACCAGCTGGAGTTGAGGTGAGGTAAGGGCCGGCGGTGCAAGGCTAAGAGAAAAGGCGGTTAGGTGTTAACATCGAACTTTGACTTTTACCGAGCAAGCCTGGGCCAAGCCAAGACAACGGGCGGCGGCTTTCTTGGTTAGATTTGTGGCGTTCCATGGAACCTGGAGCGACGTTTCGAGACGGTTGAGACATGGAGCTGAAAGTCAAAACACACGTGCCCCATTTCCCGCGTATTTCAGTCCCCAATTGTGAGAGCGACCCATTGAATCTTGGGGTCGTTTGTGTCTGGCGAACCTTGCTCTATCCCTGTCGAAAGTTTACTCACAAAGATGGAATGAAAGTCGGTTTAATGGGACGGCCAAGGCGCGACGGGCGATTGAAGATTGATTCTCAGCGTTCGGTGCCGAACGCGATCCACATTTTCTTTCGGTGCCGGAATTGTGTAACCTTCATCTATCTACGGAGTATGGACACCGAGTAAGGCGACTGCAGCATATGGAGAGCCTCCTGTATATCAAGCAAAAGATATGTATTATCTAGGGTATTTTCGACCCATCACTATAATCCCGAATTCCGGGCAAGGATGCAACGTAGATTGCAGAAGGTGATTGATTTGCTCCCATGGATTGAAGACCGCGTTCCTCTTGCTCAGATATAAGGCTGTCATCAAGACAATCAACTCCGTCTGATTTTTTTCCTTATCTACCATTATATGTTTGAACATATCCCAATACTCCTTTGACTACATTATTTTACCATGGATTTCGAGCCGACTGATGTCCTCATTGTTGGTGCTGGGCCCGTCGGCCTGGTGACTGCCCTCAGTCTGGCCCAGCAAGGCATCCCTACAATCATCACTGGTAAGCTGACAGACGATACTTTAATGTTGGGCGATCTGACATTGAAGCAAAGAAAGACGACAGTTGGAGGTCCAGGAGTCTTTTGGCCGAGCCATTACTCTCTTTCCCCGCACTCTCGAGCTCTTCGAACAGGTTGGCGTCGCCGAAGAAATAGTTCAACAGGGCAACATTGTACGGGGAATTGCCACCTTCAGGGGCGGCAAAAGAGTGTCGGCCGTGGGCCAGCAATCAATGTTCACTGCCATGACGGGAACTTTCCACGACTATATCATCAACATCCGTCAAAAGTCTTCCCAGGCCATCTTTGCTGCCAAGTATAAAGCTGTTTCAGGAAATGAGGTTCAATACCAGTGGGAACTTGTCGACTACCAAATCGACGACAAGCCCCATGACGGCTATAATCTCACAGCTGTTCTTCAACATCCTCAGCACGGAACACGCTCGGTCAGATGGTATAGGTCCTTCTCATGCATGCCTCAAAGATAAAAGAACTTGACTAATTCTTCAAAGCAAATACCTGGTCGGCGCTGACGGAGTCTCGTCTCAAGTACGACAACTTGCCAAGATTGAAATGATTGGTGATGAAACGGCATACGAATGGGTTCGTTTTGATGGCCGTGTCAAGACTGACATTCCTGAGACCGACCTTGGCTTTGTGACAATCAACAGCGCCGAGTACGGCAGCGCCTTCCTAGCCCGGGTTGATAAGGATGCGTGCCGCCTCGGATATGTCTTTACTCCGACGCTCAAGGCCAAATATCCCCAAGGCCTCAGCAAGGAACAGGCTATGGAGGAGGTGGTCAAATCCGTCCAACCGTTCAAACTTGAGTTCGAGCGAATCGACTGGTGGACTATTTACACGCAAGTATAAGCCTTGAAACTACGAACGTCAATTCTCTGACGGCAAAAAACAGAATCAAGCAAAAGGTAGCCGCGACCATGCAAAAGGATGATTTCATTTTCCTTGCCGGCGACGCTGCTCACACACACTCCTCCGGCTTCGGCCAGGGCATGAACACCGGAATCCACGACGCCATTAACCTCTCGTGGAAGCTCGCTGGAGTTCTTAGAGGATGGTACCAAACGGAAGTGCTCGATACGTACTCCGAGGAGCGCCGTGCCGTCGCGCAGAAGGTCATTGATATCGACAAGACCCTAGCGGCTGTGTTGTCTGGCGACGTGCCCGAGACGTGGACCGGATGCAGCGGCAAGCCCGAGCCGAGCAAGGTGCTGGGCGACATATTGACGTCCAACGCCAGCTTCAACATTGGTCTTGGCGTCAGCTATGGGCCTTCCGTCCTGGTAGATAGGGCTACTACCGGCAGTTTGGCCGTCGGTCATCGCTGTCCTGACATCCTTCTCAGAGCACCCGGTCCGTCTGTTCCCATCCGCCTGCAGAGCATCATCCACAAGAACACCGGGCAGTGGAACATGCTCATCTTTGCTGGTCGCCCTGGTCAACAGACAGCAAAGGTCGCTGCGCTGCGTGACACTCTCGAGTCTCTCAACGCAGTCAATAAATACGACCAGATGGTGAGCTTCACTACTATTGTCACTGGTACTATCACCAACACGTGGGATGTGTATGATGGACTTCCTTCTAGTTTGGTGCTCTGTGATGTCGACGGACAGGGACACAATACCTTTGGAATCTCAGCCACAAGCGGCGGGCTCGTTATCCTGCGCCCAGACGGTATTCTGGCTGGCATTTACCCGATCGAGAATGTGCAAGAGGTGGGACTTTTGTTCAAGAATTTCTGGTCTGGTAGCACCAAGACGCTCCCTCTTATATGAGGACATGTGTAGCTAGACTTGAACATCCTAGACGCCGGAATAGATCTAGACCGTGACATAGAACCGTCGTAGCACTTGACCCCACAATCATGATGACCACAACTTGAATGCATTTCACTTCACGACTGGGTCCTCAAAACCTGCGTGGTGAACATATGGTGAACTGTCGCCTTTTTCGCTGGAGGCGTCGACAACCGCAAGCCAACAGATTCACCGACATACCTGATTTGCGAACATGTGTAGAGCAAAGTGACTGTCCCACTATCGGCAACAAGATTGTGGTAGGAAATTTTATAGAAAGACTTCCCTTGCAAAGCCACGTCAAATGATTCTCATTTCATCACCTTTATGCCCAAAAACTTTCGAGGCCTATATTCTGTCGCCGCTCGATCTCAAATTGTCGATGAAGTCAAGCACAAGGAAATCGCCAAACCACGGCTCCATCTGATCGAGCATTTCTCCAAATTCATGATCCGTCGAGGCTCCCATCTGGTCCACAGACCCGTCCTGCACCATACCAGCATGAATACCGTCACTGAGTTGCTTGTCCCGGGAAGCCTCTGGGATTAAATCCAACCGATTTAACGCCCACTCAAAGATGGACAATATCCTCTTCATGACTGGTAAGTCCTGAAGTTGCTCTAGAATGAGCAATCCTTGACGAATATAGATGAGCGACATGGACTTGGTTGCGTTTGACTCGACAGCATCCAAGGCGGTCTCTATGTGGAGGGCCAGTGCTATTGGGATATTTGAATTGCTTCCATGGTCAATCGTTAGCCGTTTCTGCCTCGACAAAGACTTTGGGAATCTCTGCCATGAAGACATACAATGACATGGGCAGGCTCCCAAGCTCACCATTTGCAAGTGCTCTGCCAAACAGCGTGTCAAGCTCAAACATAGAGCATCGAAGTCGACCTCTTGCCCAGTCGTGCCGGGAAACATCAACAGACTTCCAATGAAGCTTGAGAGTCCTGTACAAGATACACTCGAACCGGTAGCTGGCTGCGATGAGGGCCGTGAGGTAGGGGCCGTCGGTAAGGTGATGGTCTGCGTAGGTTGCTCCTCGAAGCTGACTTCTCCAGTCGTGAAACTCGTGAGCCATGGTTTCAGCGTTGACCTGATCGGGGTCGGATATTCCGACTAGCCATTTCCTTCCTGTCATCATGAGTAAGTGTCAGGAACTGTCCCGAATATTGACTACTTGCAACCTACCTAGCACAGACAAGTTACAGTAATCGATAAAGTGAAGCTCTTGTTCACGGGTTAGTGCGAGAGAAAATAGGGCATGCATTTCGTCGCTTTGAACCTCCCAATCTTCCGCCGTTGGCAATGCTGGCAGCTTCTTCTTGTAGCTGACCAGAGGCATACTTTGCATGCCCAGGAATGACAGTAGCACGTCTCGACACTAGAACAATGCGTCAGTGTCAATAGCAGGTGAGACAAGCGGCTCTTGTCCGCTGTGTCCTCATGATGAACTCACGTATATCACCCACCAAATTCTTCTGTACAGCCCGCGAAGCTGGGCATCCGCAATCCGTAATTGATCACTACAGATTCTAATTGTAAGCAGATTGAAACACGTTTGCGTGGCATGGAATTGAGGCATGCTCACAGCTTCTGGAGTTCCAGTTTCGTGGCAAGCCGAACGGCGTTGAAGAACCAGTACTGAACATCTCGGTCAATGGGGTAGAAAAAGGCAGTTGTACCCAAGATGAGGGATCCTTGCAGCAGGCATAGCTGACTCTTCTCGCATTGAAAGTCGTGTAGCAGCAACGCTTTATTGAAGAATGCTGTCTGCGCCTCTGTGACGTTTGAGTATCCACATGAGGTGAGGAGGTCAGTCGGCACGTAGAGAGTAGCACTCGTTAGGACCGTCTGTATGAGAAACGGCGAATAGGATCCTAACTCGTAACTCTGTAAGAAGTGGCTTGGGTCCAATACGGGCGAATATGGATGAACAAAGCGAAAATAGGCAGTCAAAAACACCATTCTCACGCCTTCTTGTCAGCTTTTATAGATTCGTCATGGGAGTCATCTTTTGAGTGGACGGCTTACAAGGTATCCCGGTGCGGCAACACAAATGCGCCCTTCTTCATAAGAAACTCCAGATCCACTGGATCCAAACCAGACATGCCGACCTGTGTGTTTTCTGGGTAGTGTGGAGTGTTATCGGTGGAGCTGTTGGCAGTAGACCCGAGTCCGGGACTTTCACTCGTCTGACTGCCATTCATCGCCGTCTTCAATATATTGAGATAATGACTCCTTCCGTTGTATTCTGCTTGCGCCTGTGGGAGTGCATAGACGTCTCGTATGTTTTCGGGCGTGCGGCCTGAGCCTATCGAGCTCGTCTTCCCAAGTTCACCAAGGCCATGTGGACCATGCGTGTGTCGAGTGGAAGATCGCTGCACCCTGCGAGTAGAAAGGCCAGGTGAATCAACTACGGCATGATTTGACAAGGATTCTCTGGGTGTAGACTCAGTATCCTGCTACAGTCAGTCATCACTGCTATATTTCTACAGCTTTTATATGCCATAGGCCGAACTTGGGCTGCCCGGATGGACCGACGGGAAGCAACATGGCGTTCTCACATTCTGGGTACCATGGCAGTCTTGGATCGAATCGTCTGTTCTTCTCTTCCTTTGGGGCTGTCGTCAGAGGACCAAGAATGTTATCCCAGATTCATCTTTGCTTTCGCCTACCTCTTTCGTATCTGGCGAGAGACCAACTTGCAACTCTCGTAGTATCCCTTGCTGGCACATCGGCCGCAGGGTATCCCAACCACAGGCGCATCGCACTTAACTTTGCGCGAGTGACACTCGGTGCACGCTTTGCTGAGTCTCGCCACACCTACTCCAATGTCGGCGGCGGTCGCCATGTAAGCCGGTATACAATTCCGCTCCGGGGAACGTCTAGCTACCGGGACCGTATTCTTGTCGGCTTTTCGGCGAGACGCACGTGATGAAAGTGAAAAGGCCAAATAATGGCTCCCATCGAGTGAATGGACAGGGTAAATGAAAGGAGGTCATTGATAGTTTCGGCGCCGAACAGGGGCCCATAATTCGACACCACGGTATTTCGGCATTGACAAAGTTTCCGCGATAACTCAGCGTTACGACCTAACATGAAAGACCAAGCCGGGACGCGGCTACCGCGCCAAATCTAAGGTACCAAGAACTCATACTGGATTCACTTCTCAATGTATATACTGAGATTCGTCATTCATAGTCATGAATGTCCGTCATGACTGAGATGTCGCGGAGTGAACACCTTTCGCAACGCACCAGTCGGCAGCCACGGTCGCTTGAGGCACTCTAATTTTATGGTTCCCCACAGTGGACCGTGGCGGGCCGCATCCTGTCAGGCCCCCTGATGATCCCCTCGGAACTCTGGCGGCGCTACAGAACGCGCTTCTCGAGCGTAAGCGAGCAGCGTGAGATGTCTCACCCGGAGGATGATTGGGTAATGGGCTTAGGAAGGATGCAGGAACCGGCGCCTGTGTCCATCTTACCCGGTCGGGAGCTTGGCTCAAGATGTGAGATTCTTTTTTCGACGTGGATGACAGCTTGCATGGATATGATCGACGTGGGGGTCGAGGCAGGGGAGGCATTGTTGGATCTGAGGCAGTGATGTTCATCGCCAACCTCTTGTAAATGCACACGGCTTGATCCCAATCATCACGGATGCAGTGTCCTTTGCCAAGAACAAAGTGACTATTCTTACTTCTCATCGTCCAAGATAAAGCCTCAGAGTCGCGCGAGGTACTCAGTAGTGAGCGGCAATCTAGTCCTGCTATGTTCAACTCACAGCGCCTACATTGAGCTCACCTGCCCGCTCTCACGTTATTAGGGCACGGGAAGCACTGATTCTATTCACACTTTCCATCGTCTCTGCCAATTGTATCTCATCGGTCTTATCAACAAAAGTTGTTTTGAATCGTGATGTTTAGCCATGAGTATAGATACCCGATGGTTGTTACCCAAACGAGGAGAGTGAGCAGTTGTTTTTTTGTGGGACCTGATTCTGTAGTCGCGCGATGCACCGCGCATTCTCAGTTTGCCATACCACAAATCGCGAAATCTCATTTGATCGCATCAGATTAAGGTTGTGTGGAACATGAAGAACGGTTGAGTGGAACACGCTTTCGGGGCTTGGTGTAAAGATGTGCCGAGAGAAAGTCTAGTGGCAATTGCGGCATTTCCATGAGCTACACTGATCGTCATCCGCGCCGTCTGTCCCGTCACTGCACGACATTTCGTCGATGCTTGACATGATCAAGACGACATGAGTGAGTGATAAGACGTGATACAAAGTCATCATGATGAAGTCGATTTCATCTCACAGAGTGAGGTCATAGAGTGAGTTGACAGAGTTAGATGGTAAGCTCAACTCTCAGTATCCAAGATGCCTTGGATCTCATGAATGGCATCTCGCATGGACCGGAAGGCCTCAAACTCAGGTACTCTAAGAGTTGTGAAGATGTTACTATGTGCCGGGACGGATCAGCGTGTAGTGCTTACCCGATGCCGGGCCCAGACGGACTCAGACGGGTCCAAACGGACTCACGTCTCAGTTCCAAGCGAGCCTATCTGTACGCCGTAACGAGAGCCCCTCCGTGATGGCCGACTTCGGGCTCCGCAGCCGAGAGAGACAGAAGACGGGAGATTGAGGTGGAAGCGCGGGGTCCCCCAGTCTCACCATCGCCCACGGTCCACACCCACGACCGCGACCCCGCCACGGCCAACCCATATAGGCAATCCTAACAGTTGGCGACGGTGGCAGCGTCACGACCGTGTCCTGGGGCAACCCGCGTCTCCTCCTCCATCATCCACATCCTCCATCGACAATTGGTACTCGAGGGCCGTTTAGCGGGTCCGACGGTGGGCGTCACGGAGAGAAAGTACGATGTACCCCATCCCATCAGGGTGCGCAGCTCATCCTGACAAACGATGATGCAATTGCGTGTTGGAACCCCTCACTTGTTTAAAAAGAGGCCACCTAGAAGCTCTCCCCTTCGGCCTTTTCTTCTGCTGGTGATTCTCACGATATCGTACACTCTTCCTCTTCTTTTTCTTCTAAACCAATTCTCAGACAAATCCAGCAAAAATGTCTTTCGGAACCAAGGCCAAGCTTAACACCGGCGCCGAGATCCCGTACGTACAAATAATTACCCCTCCATCCATTCCCCTGCCGATCGCGATACCCCGCTCTCGTGCTCGCGCTCTGCCTCTTTTCCTACCCTCCCCGTACCGCAAAACGAAAAAAACACATAGAGTAAACTGACTTATGGCCATTCTAGCACTCTGGGATACGGCACCTGGCAGTCCGCCCCCGGCGAAGTCTCCGTCGGCGTCTACGAGGCCCTCAAGGCCGGCTACCGCCACCTCGATCTCGCCAAGATCTACCAGAACCAGCCCGAGGTCGCCCAGGGTATCAAGAAGGCCCTCGCCGAGATCCCCGGCCTCAAGCGTGAGGACATCTGGATCACCTCTAAGCTGTGGAACAACAACCACAAGCCCGAGAACGTCGAGGCTGCTCTTGACGAGACCCTCAAGGAGCTCGAGCTCGACTACCTTGACGTATGTCTTCCTACCGTGCCCCTCCTTTTCTGCTTAGTTGGGTGGACATCAACGGGTGAGCAATTCCCGGCTAACCACTCACTCACAGCTCTACCTCATCCACTGGCCCGTTGCCTTCAAGAAGGATGGCGACAAGCTCTTCCCCCTCGCCGCCGAGGGTGAGGTCGACCTCGACCAGAGCGTTTCCCTGGTCGACACCTGGAAGGCCCTGATCGACCTCCCCAAGTCCAAGGCCAAGAACATTGGTGTCTCCAACTTCACCGTCGAGGACCTCCAGACCGTCATCGACGCCACCGGTGTTACCCCCGCCGTTAACCAAATCGAGCGCCACCCCCTCCTCCAGCAGAACGACACCCTGATCAAGTACGCCAAGGAGAAGAACATCCACATCACCGCCTACTCTGTATGTTCACCCCCACCACCAACACCACCTCTCCTCAGTGACACAGTGACTAACAAGCGCAGGCCTTTGGTAACAACGGCTTCGGTCTTCCCCTCCTGATCGAGAACGACGTCGTCAAGAAGATCGCCACCAAGCTTAACGCCACCCCCGCCCAGGTCGTCCTCGCCTGGTCCCAGGTCGGCGGCCACTCCGTCATTCCCAAGTCCGTCACCCCCAGCCGCATCCAGTCCAACTTCCAGGAGGTCAAGATCTCGGATGAGGACGTTGCCGCCATCAACGAGATCGGCAAGGAGCCCCGCCGCTACAACATTCCCTTCACCTACAAGCCCCGCTGGAACATCAATATCTGGGACGAGAAGGAGGAGAAGGAGGCCTCCAACAAGGTCGTTCGCAAGCTTTAAGTTTGTGTGCTGTTGATAAAGAGGAAAGAAAAATTACCGCGTTCCTAGTTCATGATACCATGCGGGCCTTATATAGAAAAAGCCGTAGACGGCCATAGATGGACGACTCTATGAATAATGAAAACAAATAAGAACACTGCCTGCGCCATACTGATCTGTGAAACTTGGTGTCAGCACATGCAGTCAGAGATATTGACGCGGTCTGATACTCTTGTGTCGAGACTTAATCAAATCAGGGCAGATAGGTAGACGGCTCAAGGACCTTGAGCAGTCGGTGAGGCACAAGCCCTGGCACTGCATCCACTTTCGGGGCCCGACTTTCCCGGTAGGATGTACGTTGACGACTTTCGCTCTTAGAACAACTTCAAAATCATTCGACTTTTTCACTTCACACCTTGTTCTTCTGAATTGAATTCAAGTACTACTCAGAGGTATTTCATGATCTGCATTGGCTTTGTTGACGAGTCGTGAGCCTGTCAACTTGATGACTGCAATTTCGGGGAGCACCCGCTGACTAAGCAGACTATCTGTCCTGACGAGAAGCTGCCAGTACGCGTAACGTCCGGAGCACATCCCTGGCCAATCAAGCTTAAAAGCTCACCTTACACCTTGATCCTCAACACCCATTGCACCACCCCTTCAACCATGGCGGCCAAGTACGCTGCGCAGGACCTCTCAGACGCGGCATTAGGAGGTCCAATTGGCCTGAAAGATGGCTACTTTGTCGACAACTACGGGCGCACCCTCACGCTGCATGGCCTTAACATCTCCGGGGCAAGCAAGCTGCCCACGACGCCCAATGGCCTGTCTCATCTCACCGACGGCTTCTTCGAGCACCGGACAGTGACATTCATCGGCAGACCGTTTCCTCTTGGAGATGCGCCGCTGCACTTCAGACGGTTGCAGGCTTGGGGCTTGCCGCTGATCCGCCTGCTTGTTACGTGGGAGTCAATTGGACACTCCGGGCCGGACCCGGAGACTGATGTTGATTTGGAGTATATCGACTATCTGCGCCAGCTCATTGAGATCATGCCGAAATATGGTATCAAGTGCTTTATCTGCGCTCACCAGGATGTGTGGAGCCGGTTCAGTGGCGGCAGCGGGGCACCCGGCTGGACGTTTGAGGTTGCTGGGCTCGATGTCGAGGCCTTCACTGAGACTGGTGCCGCATATGTGCATGGGCAGGATGATCTGAGGAGAGCTACGGCGCCTGTGAATGAGAAGGAGCCGAGCGGTCCGTTTGTGTGGCCATCTGGGTACCAGAAGATCGCTGCATCGACCATGGCGACGCTGTTTTGGGCGGGCGAAGCTCTGGCGCCAAAGCTGCAATGTCAGCGGTCGAAGAATGGCAGTGATGAGACTGTTTCGGCTCAGGAGTTTCTTCAAAGTGCCTTTATCGAAGCTTTTGGCCGGCTCGCTGATGAGGTGGCTGGTCTCGAGGCATGCGTTGGATTTGAGCCGTTGAATGAGCCACATCGAGGTCTCGTCAATCTTCATGGGTTCGACGGTTGGAACTATGATACCGACCTTCATATCGGATACTACCCTTCCTTGACACAAGCACTCGCACTTGCCAGTGGCTACGCTCAAGAAGTCAATTATTACGTCAAGTCTTGGCCGTTCCCTACTCGTATTTCTCACAAAACTGTCGTCGACCCTAAGGGAAGATCTGCTTGGCTGGCTGCTAAGCCAAGTGCATCGGAACCACAGAATTACGGTCTCGGCGAGTGTGTATGGCGCGCTCATGGCGTCTGGGAATGGGACGAAGCCAAAAGGGGCCCAAAGATTCTGCAGCAGGATTACTTTGAGGTCGACCACCGGCCGGGCCGTGAAGGCAAGCCGCTGGAATGGTACCGCGACTTTTACGGTCCCTTCCTCAAGCGCTTCTCGGAGCGTGTCTCACGGAAGTCTTCCCGCCAGTTCTGCTTCTTCGAGCCGATCCCAAATGAGTTTGTGCCCCCTTGGGTTGGCCAGGACGGCAAGGTGGACGAAGCCGGACAGAAGCAGACATACGCGACCAAGACAATCATCGACACCCCGAGGCCAGGAAATCTCGTCTTTGCTCCTCATTTCTACGACCTCAACGTATTGTTCAGCAAGCATCACTCGTGGATGAGCGTCAACGTACAAGGCCTCTCCAGGGGCATGTTCATCTTGAAAGCGCTCTACTTCGGCGCTAAAGCGCTCCGCCAAAACTACCGCACGCAGCTCGCCAACATCCTAAAGTATGGGCAAAAGTCGCTGGGGACCCACGTGCCTGCCCTCATCGGCGAGGTCGGCATACCCTACGACATCAACGGCGGCGAAGCCTTCAAGACGGGCAACTACGATAAGCTGCGGGAGCTCATGCACGCGCTCGTCTCGGCCATGGAGGACAATAACCTGGCCTTTACGCTGTGGAATTATAACCCTGATAATCGGGTGGAGTACGGCGATGGGTGGAACAAGGAAGATTTCTCTGTCGTTAACGGCGACACTGAAGCGAAGCCGGGCCACATTCTGCCAGACTATGCTAACGCAGCACATGAGGATAATGAGCTGTACCGCGGCGGGAGGGTGCTGGACGTGATTATTCGTCCTTACGCCGTCAAAATTGCAGGTCGCCCCGTTCGCTCGGATTGGGACCCGCGGACCCTCCATTACGAATTCGAATGGACTTCAGAGGCCGAGACCGACGTCAAGAATAGCAAAAGTCAACCACAAAAGTCACGGACGACGGAGATCTTTGTGCCAAAGTACCACTACGCGCAGCGCAACATCGACATCAAGGTCAGCGACGGAGAGTGGTCGTATGATCCTGATCTGGCGACGTTGTATGTGCAACATGACGGAAGTAAGAGCACGCACCGCTTGACGATTGATATTACGAACATCCCGAGGCATCTGATGGAGACTGTTGAGAGAAGGAGGCGGGCGTTCCCGCCTAGTTTCCCGCTGAGTCTCATATCGCCTAGTACGGAGCTTGCGATTGGGGAGTTGATGATGCCGATGTTGTTGCCTGGGCTTCTCGTCATTTTCCTAGCTGTTGTGACGATGTTTGTCTAGGGGCGGAGGGTTAATTCGCAGCAGAAAGGTAGTTGCGGTAGACTTTTGAAGTTGATGGGGTTAGATATCGGGTGCTTAAATGAACTTTGTAAGAGACCTAAGGTCAGAGGCTTGAGTATGGGCTCATGTCTCTTTGACTTTGAGAATGGAAGTACGCTGCCCAACGTCGAAAGCTGACAAGCGAATCGTGTGAGAATTCACGGGTCGCCATTTTGACCCGCATAGTCATGAAGTACCTAGTATCACCGATTCTCCGCCTTAATCCTGGCCTGAAACTGACCTCTCAGACGCGACTTCAAGATATAGTAAGATAGAGTGGACGGTGAACATTGAATATCAGAACCAAGAGGCATCTGAAGTTCATATGCAAGGGGCCACTTTTATCCGTCTCTAGGTCAAGTTTATTGGTTTAACTTTTGCCCCTCCCCCTCTTTTGCCCATGCTTCTGTCAACCTCTGTTGAGCTCATAATCAGAACTCATTCGACCGACGGGCAACCTATCACGAGCGACTTACACAATAGTAATATTCACGGTTTACTAGTAGATGTCATACTGTTGTAAAAGGTTAGCCCGCAAGATTAGTGTCTGTCTTGGTGAATGTACCATGTTGACCACTCCACCAGGAAAGACTCCGAACTGTCTGCTAAGCAACAGCATCCCCAAATCTAGGGTATCCTTTGGTGTAATAAGAACTTCTCGTCTCTCATCCTTGACAATATCTATCGTGAAAGCGAATCAACACCACCGCCAAGATGATGGGCTACGACGACGACGACGGCATGGGAAGCCGTCTCTTCGACCACCGCGCAAGCGACACTCACAGAATGGTCCCAAAAGCAGACCTCATCATCTACAACCCCTCAACCCAGCTCCTCGGCATGCAGATGTACTCCTGGGCCACCAAACGCCCCGTCCCCGAACGCGGCAGCATGGTTGTCTACATTGACGGCGCCTGTCGCAACAACGGGCTCCCCGACGCACAAGCCTCGTGGGGCGTCTACTTTGGTCCTGGGTCACGGCACAACGCGTGCGGGTTGTTGGCAAGGGACCTCCCGCAGACGAACTCGAGGGCGGAGATTGAGGCGCTGGTGCAGGCTGTGAGGATTATTTGCGAGATTACGGGGAGGGATTATTCGTTGAACCGAATTACGATTGTGACGGACTCGGAGTATCTTGCGAATGCTATGGCGCTTTGGATTGGGGAGTGGATTGAGAATGAGGGGTTGAATGCGAGGGGGAAGAGGGTTGCGCATTTTGAGGTGTTGAGGGAGTTGCATGAGCAGTTGGATGAGATGACGTATGGAGATGATGGGGGAAGGGATATTTTGTTTTGGGCTGTGCCGAGGGAGGAGAATAAGGAGGCTGATGCATTGGCTAATCGGGCGTTTTCAAGTGTGCCGTAGGACGTTTTGATGCTGATGGGATGTGCAACTTTTCAAGACTTCTGTAGGGATGTCCTTAGTTTTGTGTCAGGCTTTTGAAAGTCAATGGGAGCTTTTGCGATCGACTTGACGAGTACGTGAAGTTGTTGAAGTTGCTTGAGTCGACAAGGTAATACAGGTGATGGTCTGAGAAGGATTGCCAGCGAAATGTTAAATTGCCTTCACTCTCATCACCAACCTGGCTAGCACTCGTCAGAACTAAATCAGATTTAAGCGTTGGTTTTTTTTTTTACAGACTCATCAATGTTTGAATGATTATGCTCTGTCTTAAAATCCTTGAACTCATGGCATTCTCGGTGCTGCTTTGCAGAGCAGAGTTGGGAGCAATTCCTTTTGAGTTGTTGAACAATCCTATGTAGGATAAGAGACAATCACAACCAATGAACAACAGCGATAAGGTGGTCCAACTCTGCTTACGTCACGTGACTGAAAGTCATAATTTTGAGCAGATGGATTCTCTTGCATCATCTACCTACTCCAAAACGTAATGTACATTCAGCTGCCTGATCATATGTTCTTGTGAACACCTAATCCAGCTCAGAGCCCAACGTTGTTCGACAACTCTTGTGGCCATGGGGACTCGACCTCACGACAATTCCTGGTCTCATCTGTGCGAGCATTGTTTGACTATTTTTACTGAAGCCAGAGAAGTCTCTTCATATGGTCTGTATTCTCCGAATAATGAAGGCTACCGGCTTCCGCACACCAAAGGGAGCCTGGAAGACGGAAAGTGTGGTGGCTGTCGCCTGTGTAGTCTCATATGGGTTCGACGCTTGAACTTTGTGGAGAAGAGCGATATGCCATGGTCAGACTGGGATGAATTGAACCCAGATAGTAGTCTCGAGCTTCGATATGGCTTTGCCAGCGGAACTCAAGGTTACAAAATTCACATGGGCCTGTGGAGATTTGACGAGGAGAATGCCAATCGAATGCAGACCATTTTCTTCTCCATCGAAGAAACAACAGGTCCGTGATGCTCCCGAGTAACTATGCTGGTAGGATTTAAAAGGCTCATGCGGAATGACAGCGGAAGTTGCAGCTTCAATCCCAAGGGAAGAGTCCGTTCTGGCTCTGAACACCAATACTGGCTCGGAGCAAGCATTCAGCTTAGCTCAGAAGTTTCTCACGGATTGCCTGAAATCACACGATTGCTCAATGCCAAACGAGAACGGATGGGCCCCTACACGCCTGATTGACTTGGGAGAGTCCCCTTCCAACGTGGCCAAGCTGGTACATTCGCGATCTCTACAACGCCCTGTTCGATGGATGACGCTGAGCCACTGCTGGGGCCTTAAGCAGCCGTGCATTCTCCTAGAGACGAACATCAAGCAGTTTATGAAAGAAATACCGCACTCAGAGCTTTCCAAAACCTTTACAGACGCCTTTGTTATCGCTAGGAGACTTGGAGTTCGATATCTATGGATAGATTCCATCTGCATCATTCAGCACAGCGAAGATGACTGGCGACGAGAGGCACCTACGATGGGCAAGGTCTACAGCCTGTCGCTTTGTACCATATCTGCAAGCCACGCGGCGGACGGATCAGGCGGCTGCTTTTCGGACAGAGACCCATGGACTGTTTTGCCCTGCGTCATACCATCGCCGTTCTCGATGGATTCTGAGGCTCGACCATTTCTTCTTCACGGGGAAAACCTAGATGCCAGATGGAAGTCGGACATTCCAGATGCGCCCCTACATAAGCGAGCTTGGGTCTTTCAGGAGCGACTTCTCTCCCCTCGGACGCTCTACTTTGGTCGGCAGCAGATTCTCTGGGCATGTGGCCAACACGAGCTTTGTGAATCGTTTCCTGAAGGGGTCCCGTCGCAGCCTGCCACTATCTGGTGGCAGTTCATCGGCGACCGGAGACGTTTTCGAAATATGCTGCTCGAGAGCGCGGGTACCAAGCCCTTTGAGGCCGCGTGGTCGGAAACAGTGAAGATGTATACCAAAACACAGCTTACGTTCCCTAGTGACAGGCAAGTGGCGTTTTCGGGCTTGCCCGGTCAGTTGCAGGATAAGCGCAATACCAAGCAAGCTTATGGTGTATGGATAGACGAGAGTTTGCCATGGGCTTTGCTTTGGGGTGCTCAGGAAAAGGTTTTCGCGCGGCCGAATGATTACTTGGCGCCATCGTGGTCGTGGATGACACTGAACACGCCAGTAACATTCGGGAACTGGTATCCGCATGGCACTGGGTTGGTGAAAGCTGTTGATCTCACCACCTCTGGTTTCGGTGGAACGAATAAGATCGGAAAGGCGGAAAACGACGGGTTGATTTTAGAGGGTGTCCTCAAGGTGGCGTTTTACAGAAAAGAGGTTACCGAAGAGGGCGACGTGAAGCACATGGTCTCGCAACTGAAGGGCAGGTATGAGGAATCCATTCAACTCCAGGCATTCACTAGAATAAACGATTGGAAAGCGCTAGGTTCGATGCTCCAGCCGGCAACTTCAGAGTCCGACTCAGATTGGACGCAAATGTACGGTTGGGACTCGCCTGAAGAGACGCCCGCAGGAGATACTGTCATCTGTCTTCCGCTGGTCAACCATACAGACCGCGTTTTGAGGTTCGAGGGTTTACTTCTTGAGCCTGTGCCGCAACCGCCGGAGGTCAACACGGTTCTATCTACAAGCAGAACGGAGGGCGATGAGCAATTGAAAAAGTTCCGGCGGATTGGAAGCTATCATCTGATGCACCGCGCCGACTGGGTGGCAACAACCGGAAAGTTACGATTCATGCTTATTTAATGAGTTGGAAGTGGGATTATTCAAAGACCCAGAAGACCCAAAATGACAAAAGAGTTCAACCCCCAGTGCTAGACTGGGGCCTACATCTCTGGATGCTCGTGCTGGGATTCGAACTCGGGTACTCTCGCTAAGCCTGTCGTCGAATAGGCTGGTTGGCGTATAATTGATTGTTGATCATGGACTGCTCCATCACCAGCCAGTTTGACCCGACCCATCGACTCAGACGGGCGCCTGCTGGCTGGTGACAGAGATGGAGTCGAGGGGACCTATATGGGCCTCAGCCGGTGTGTATTCGTGTGGCTGGGTTGGCGATTGTGTATCCAGGCAGGTGGGTGGCGAGAATACGCAGAGGAAACCTAAGAAGGCATCCACCGACATCTTGAACTTGCGCACCTTCATAAGGTAGCAGAGCAAGACTCATCTTGGATGATCAAAATAGAGTACCGTCGTTCAAAGACGCCCTGGAGAATGAACTACAATGGAAACCCTGTTGATTCTTGATTGGAATGCAGTCTTCTATTTCCTAAATGGAATTTACCACCCTCCCGTTTGTTTTCACTGTCTATTTCCTATTGGAACTCCCTGAACTCCGAGTACATGCATTTATCAGTCACCATTCGCTCACTCTTATGCCGGCGCGGTGCCGCTAGGCATGGCACTTCCGCTAGGAGAGCCACCTCCGCCACCTTGCTCGCTCTCCGGGCCACTCAAAGAAGGGCTGTTTTCCGTGTCGATGCCGATGGTGATGTAGCCAACCATGCCTTTGGTAATGTCACTACCATCGAGAGGGACGATGTCGATGACGGGGTTGTAGCCATTTGCGAGGCCTGAAGAGTAGACAGAGTCCACGTCGTTAGTTGTGCGGTTGATCTCGGTGTGGCTGACGTAGGGCTCCAGGGCCATAATTTCCTGTGAAATGGACTCGTTGAAGTACAGTTGGCCAATGGAGTTGGTGTTACCAGTCTTGACGGTGCCGTTGCTGTGTAGGACCCAATCGGTGAAGACTAGTTGGAACTGTCAGCTTCGAAGTATTACAATCCTTGAAAATTTGGCTTACCTTGAGCGTGGATGTGGATGGATCTTTGGATGTAGAAACCAGGGAAGATGGTCTTCATCTCAAGAATACCCTCATCATTGGAAGGCCACATGCCACGAAGCCATGTGGTGTCATCAGTATGAAGATCCGTGGTGCCAATCTCAAAGTCAGTGACGTTGAGAGACTCGAGAAGCTCCCGGAAGTCCGTATTGGGGTCACGGCCAGTGAAACTAGAGTAGCTGCCGGTGGAGTTGCAGTGCCAGAACGCAACAAGTGCGTTGGGAAGGGGCTCGCAGGTAGCCATATCAAGGACACCGACGTCGAGGATAAGAGGAACGCCGACTTGGTCCTCAGTCATGTCCTGACGCAAAGTCTCTGACCGGGGCCAGTAGTACGGACCAGCGGTGACATCGGGGGCAAGGACGCAGGTATCGTTCTGGAGAGTGTCGTAGTAGGGACCCTCGGTGACGATGGTGTACGAGCTGTTGCCGGATCGTCTGTTCAGGCCAGCCTCCTCCTGGCGCTTCTCGAATCGCTTCTGCTTGAACTTCGCGGCTCCAGAAGCACAGCGCTTAGAGAGATCGGCGTGGCGTTTGATGACTCCGGGGGCTACCTCCTTGTGGGCAAGGGCCAAGGAGGCGAACGCGCCAATTGCAACGGTTGAAAGTTTCATGATGTGTGGAGAGAAGGTTGCTGCCGAGAGATAGTTTGGATGAACGAGAGGTCGAGAAACATCCAAACTCGATTCATCTTATACATGTCTCAACCTTTTCCATCTTTCAGGAAAAAGTGGCCACTATTGATGCAAATGCCATGTCGACAGCATCATTCGAAGACCTGGTTCCCCTGAACGCGTCACCGAGGATGAACAGTTTGTCGGCATTTCGACATCAACTGGGTACTCGCACATGGAGCGGGCAGTGTAATGACGAATCACAGTCATTTCATTACAAGCCCGGACAAGCTTGTAGCATATCGTCAATCTAAAATAGGTATATACGGTGCCACAGCGTTCGCAGAGGCTGACGACTGTTCCAACTTTTCTCCACTGAAAATCGGAATGTGGGTGAATGGGGGCCGCGGACCGCTCACTGTAGATCAACTACGATTTACGAATGCGAGTATTCTCTGTTCGTCCTTGGAAGCAGTGATTATGATTGGGGTCGATTTGGAGCTCGATTTATCCGTAGATCATAGCGGAGGACAATATAGGGCCCCGGCTCCGAATAATCCGGTATGTGGGAGCCGAGCCGCCATCACATTTTGCACATAAGTCGGACGGTATCCGGCGAAATTGTTCCTAGAATAATCGTGGTTTGAAATACTCTTTTTTTATCCAAAAAGTCATGCTGAGGATCTGGTATAGAGTTCGACTGTACAACCTGATGAGGTGAGCTATGGAGCTGACGGAGGGTGTCAGTCAACCTCCAGGTCACTCTGTGCAGCCAGTTGGCAGCTGCTTTTGTAGTCGGATTGCCGAGAGCTAATAGCGGAAAGCCTAGTTAAGATCATCTTTAACCGAGAGCTTTTTTGAGTCAAGATGTAGTCGTACTTGCTCATAAGTTCAAAAGATTGATACCTCGTACTGCCGCGATATGTTCTGGACTCCACTCTGTGTTCTGGCCTTCTGATAGCTGATGGCCGTGGCCCATGACGACAACAGGCTCAGTTGCTCAGATGATTCAAGTTTGCACTCTCGATGTGACAGTCTTCACTGTGCAACTTGGCATTATTAGTCACCTTCGCTTGGCAGACGGCAGTTAACGCAAGTTAAGACTGACACATGCAGGCCGCATTAGGACGACAATGTCAAAGCAAGCTATCACCCGCTATCAATAATTATCTTTCGCCTAGATGCACGGTGCCAATCGCTCATGCCTAGCTACTTAGTGCCTCAAGGAAGCATGACCTAAATGTATCCTCTCATCGGCGAACCGGAGTTCTCGTTACCTTTGGTATAAGATGCTGCTCTACTCGCCATAACAACATGAAAGTTGTGCAAAACCACGGGATCTGCCAAGTTGCCGTCATTGCATGTCATCCCTGGCGCGGACCAAGACTTCGTCGTAAATATATGGTGTGCGTAGCTACAACGGACAAACGATGCCCTCGCACTCCGCGTTGCTGCACTTGAGTAATCGATCACTGTCCGTGTTGCGTTTAAACGCCAGACTAACCCCTGCATCGTCGGCCTTGGGTTAAGAAAGAATTTGCGCGATGTAAGTGGGGACAGACTTGTCAAGCGGGGAGGCGTGACAAGAATCAAGACCTCGCACGAACAGAGCCAGAAACTGAGAAGAATTTGAGGAGGATGGTCGTCGCTTTTGAGGACGGTTCCCCGGGGGGCATCAAAAACTATCCCAGATTTTAGAGATCCACCCGTCCCGCTGTCGGGCACTTGTCTGCTTCCGAAGCTTGCTACAATGATCTGCATGACTCGGAACTTAAGAGACGCGGTTCCCAGTTGTAAGCGCCGCTGATTCGCTCGAGAGGGCGGCGGGCAGGGTTGGCGGCGGGTCGCGCAGAGTTGCAACGACGGGAGTGTTGGCCGGCGGGCAGCAGTTTAGCACCGTGATATGCTAGAAACAACGTCAACGTGGAGATGATTTGGAGTAATTCTTGACTTGTAATACGAAATTTCTTGTGTAATGATGAAACTGACGATGATAATTTGTTGACCGCCGAGTTACCCCCTCTGAGGCTGGGCACAGTATATAAGTTGACGGTAGACGCACTTATACCTTTGACCATCCCCAAGCGTGGTCTATCAGCTTTTGCTTCATACTTTCTCCCACCCCAAATTGCCACGATGGAGGCCATAACACCCCCTGAACATCTTCTCAGCTCATGGGCGGACGATTCATCACTCATCCGTAAACTGGATTTATGGACATCACTATGTCTCGGCATCATCCTCATCAGCATCTTCACGATAGTACCCCACATTCGCAAACCTTCTCGCAAACTCCCCTCCGTCAACCCGGGACGAATATTTGACTTTTTCGACCAAGAGCGGAAGAAGGGATTCTTGATGAATGCTCGTCGTATCATGGAAGACGCTCGGACTCAATTTCCCGGCCAGCCTTACAGACTTATGACGGACGTTGGCGAGACAGTAGTCATTCCGCCAGATCTTGTTCACGATATTCGCAACGAGCCAGGGTTGAGCTTCGCAAAGGCTTTTGCAGACAACTTTCACCCTCAACTGAGTGGATTCGAAGGCTTCGCCGTTGGCAACAGACCTGATGGTCTTTTCCAGCTCGTCATCAAGAAGCGCATCACCAAATTGCTCAGTAGGTTTTCCGCTTCCCATCACGAAGTTGCCCTTTTCTTACCCCACACCCCACATTGAGACCCCACGTTACACCAACACACCCTCACGATACTTACACGATGACACAGACCAAATCACGGAGCCTCTTGCGTCAGAAACTAGATTCGCTGTCAACCACATCTTCGGCAAGCCCGCCGGTAAGTTCCCTAACACGCTCACTGCAGGGTAAGTAGCCGATCACATTGCTGACACGCTTGGGACTGCTCTTTGTAGAATGGCAAGAGTACAATACCAAAGACACCATCCTCGACCTCATCTGCCGCCTCTCCTCCCGCGTCTTTCTCGGCGATGAAGTATGCCGCGACGAAGCCTGGCTCGCGATAACAAAGTCCTACACCGTCAACGCCTTCTTCGGCGCCGAGATCCTGCGTCCGTACCCGTATTGGCTGCGCTACGCCGCCAACTTGTTCCTACCTGAGTGCAAGACTCTTAGAAGGCAGGTATCTGATTCTCGAGATATCATTGAGCCGGTGCTTCAAAAACGCAGAGACGCACGGCAGCGGGCTAAGGAAAGGGGCGAACCGGCGCCGAAGTTCAATGATGGCATTGATTGGTTCGAAGAGGAGAGTCAGGGGCGAGAGTATGATGTCGTTGGCGCGCAGCTGGGTCTGTCGGTCGTTGCGATTCATACCACCACGGATCTACTCGTAGAGACGATGCTTCGTATTGCAGAGCACCCCGAACTATTTGACGTCATGAGGAAGGAAATTGTTGAAGTTCTCACCGCTGAAGGCTGGAAGAAGACGGCTCTTTTCAACATGAAACTCATGGACAGCGTTCTCAAAGAGTCGCAACGACTGAAGCCTGTTACATCTGGTAAGTCTCTCCTTTTCTCTTCCGTGACAACAGGGAAATACCCTCCGAGCACCAGTCGCTCACCAAAACAATCAGCAATCATGGCCCGCATGGCAACCCGCCAAGTCACCCTCCCCAACGGCCTCAAACTCCAAAAAGGAGAACGTTGCGTCGGCGACCTGGGCAAGATGCATGATCCCTCCATCTACCCGAACCCCGAAGCCTTCAACGGCTACCGCTTCCTCGAGATGCGCGGCGACGCGAAACTCGACAGCCAGGCCCACCTCGTCAGCACGTCGCCCTCTCACCTCGGCTTCGGCCATGGGCAGCACGCGTGCCCGGGTCGCTTCTTCGCCGGCAACGAGCTCAAGATTGCACTGGCGCATTTGCTAATGAAGTTTGACTGGAAGTTGACGCCTGGGTACAAGCATCAGTGGCAGGAGTGGGGGTTTGCGTGGAACTCGGACAGTACGGCGAAGTTGTTGTTCAGGAGGAGGGAGGCGCCGGAGATTGATATCGATGCGATTTGAGGACGGAATGGGGTGTTGATCCGTGGCATTTACATAGAGGGGGATCCTTGACAAGTGTTGATTTTCAATCCACTCATATCACTTTACCAAGAGTAAGATACTCTAGCCTCAAGCCGAGAAGAAAAAGAATACGGAAGAAAAACAAAAACACGAAACATGAAGGGCGCTTGTGGGATTCGTACCCGCAAGCTACAGCTCGGTAGCTCTGCACTTCAGGATTAGGGGTATAACCATCTTAAGCTTCTGGGCAGGAGTCCCTTTTACTGCTGTTGAGAACGGTTGAGATGAATCAGGTTATAGACTATGCCCCGGGCCCCGCCTTATCCTGTACATTTCAGGCTGTGAGTTGACGAATATGCATGTAGTATTCGACGATGAACATTGCAAACGTGAGGCCACACATTTATTCTGTCAAAGAACTGGGAAAATTGGACAAGATGCATGTCTCAGGAAAGCTTGGTTGAATACAAGTCCCTTTCAAGTATGCATATTTACGATATGAAACAAGAAACAGACAGGTCGTTGCCTCCATAGGGACTGATGGACTCCTCCATCTGAACCACATCGATAAATCTAAGTTAAATCTCTCTAGCTCAGATTATCCAGCAGATAAGACTTTGTTATCCCTGCCCCACAAAGCTGGGCCTGATTCAAGGAGTGATCCTCAACCAGGCACCCAGTCCATATCGTTCGACAAATACCTTGCCTGCTGCCGATGAGAAGCAGCAGATGGCCCCGAGCTGAGTCCTCCACCCGCTCCGCCAATACTGACACTCGATCCTCCTCCTAAAGGTTCTGTACCATAATCAGGCCTCATATCCATCTCCAACATGCCGGTCGGTGCCTCCTGTGTTTCAAGATTATTCAGCCACTCCCTCTGCTGCCGCTTTTGCTCCTCAATCTGCTCTTTCGCCCGCTGCTTCAAGTGCAGTTCTCGCTGCATGTTGAGTGCGCTGACTTTGTTTGTGTTAGTTATCCCCCATCTCTCGTCTCCATCTGCAGCATCACCGTGTTCGGGGTCTGCCGCCCCCTTCTCCTTGTCCCCTTTTCCAGGAGTCGAACCCGGATAACTTGATAAGCTGGACACTTCCTCCGTAGTCGGCGAATAATCCTGGGGATCCGGGATTCGTCGCCGTCGCTTCCCACCGAATCCAAATCCGGGGACGACACCGCTATGTCGCCTCTCAGGAGAGTCCGGTATTGCCGGTGCAGGATCACGATACGCGTTAGCCAGCGTCGCTCC